GACAGAGCCAAGTTCATCTCGCGCTAACCCATTTGGTCAGTTGACAGAGCCAAGTTCATCTCGCGCTAACACATTTGGTCAGTATACAGAGCCCACTTTACACTTTGTTTCACTAGCATATTTCCTCACTAAACAAAGCTTACGCTGCAGTTAGTTTAAGTAACTAACCTTTTGTACAAAATGAGAAACATCTACATTTTAGTTAAACACTTTATTCAATGAAAACACAGTAAAGGCTAACATGTATTTGTAATGATATGTATCTATATATCTATGCGTGTGTTTTTATATAGACACACAAATAATAAATACACTTACTGAACACGAAGAAAGAGAAACCTCGTTGATAAGTGAAGTAAGTGTAACTAGAAGTATTACATTTAAACGTTACTACTGTGAACGTCGTTTTACTGTATTATCCATTAATCAATTTTAACCGGTGTCCTGTAGTACTAACCATCGCTTATAGTTAACGCTTCGTTTCGATATGACCCCTGATAGTTCAGCAGTAAACTTGAGGGCTTATACCGCTTAAATATAGGGTTCAATCCCTGCTCTGGGCACATTGCAGATAGCCCATTGTGCAGTTTTGCGCCTAAACAACCAATCAATAATTTTCATCTTCCTTTCTTCTTAGTTGCGTTTCGGTCACACACTGTTTGGAAATGTAAACATTAAATTTGTGGTGATAATCCGACCGTTACGTTACGAAACATATTTCTTGATCGGAATCACTTTTTTTTCTTCTTCTTGATCGGATTATTCATCTTTGATGAAACTTGCTTTTTAGAAAATGTTCACTAAATATTTACGTCCTTCTACGTATAATTTACATTTTTGTTATCGCTATGATTAAGACAGGAGTAAATAACTAAAAATATCATATAATGTGTATAAGGTGCATGACAATGCAACCAATGTTGTATTGTTGTGTATAAGGTGCATGACAATGCAACCAATGTTGTATTGTTGTGTATAAGGTGTATGACAATGCAACCAATGTTGTATTGTTGTGTATAAGGTGTATAACAATGCAACCAATGTTGTATTGTTGTGTATAAGGTGTATGACAATGCAAGCAATGTTGTATTGTTGTGTATAAGGTGTATGACAATGCAACCAATGTTGTATTGTTGTGTATAAGGTGTATGACAATGCAACCAATGTTGTATTGTTGTGTACAAGGTGCATGACAATGCAACCAATGTTGTATTGTTGTGTATAAGGTGTATGACAATGCAACCAATGTTGTATTGTTGTGTATAAGGTGTATGACAATGCAACCAATGTTGTATTGTTGTGTACAAGGTGCATGACAATGCAACCAATGCTGTATTGTTGTGTACAAGGTGCATGACAATGCAACCAATGTTGTATTGTGACACACCTGCTCTGCTTGTTCTTTTAATTGTTATTAATTAACTTTTGTAGATCATACCGTCATTATTCGTGATAAAGTTGAATTGTAAGCACACATGACCGAAACGTCTGATTAAAAGGTTTTTCTTTTCGTACTGGCTGATGTCACATATGAATGCTCTTCTTACGATCATCTTAATACAACGTTAAAACGAACACGATACAACATTATAACATGACACTGATGAAAGTATACCTACCATCGTTTTCACCAAACGCCGAAGAACGAAGAACGCCACTATTATGTATATCATGGATTTTCATGTGGATATCCTGTCGAGTTCGGTTAACAAAGAATTGCTTCAGTATTACTCGGTGCTTTCGATTATATCCCGATATCTCAACTTTCGAACTTCAACTGATGCAAAACAATATATTCAGTTTCCTCGTGTAATCAGAAATCCGCTGTAAAACTGAAATAACTCTAAATAAAACGTTTACATGAAATATCCTGCCTTGTCTTCCTCTCTCTAAAGCCCAGCCGATAGGGAAGTCAACATCGAAACCAGCTGATTTTATTGACTCGGCGGCCATTGGTATCAACTTGACCAATCAAAATCAGAAGTAGTACAGAATAGCACCAATCCGGAGAAAGTCGAGGGCCTAGCAACCGAGCTGCTAACAGAAGCCGAGGGTATACACGTGTAACATGGTTGTTATGGGAACTATCTACTGATACGACATGGGATGACGGAAGAAGAATTATAAAACAGGTTTCCATGATGTGCGACTTGGATACAACAGAAGAAACTGGGATTGTTGTATCTCAGGACTCTTCAAAGAAAGTGCTTATATTTTACACGTGTTTAAATAAAATTCCTTCACCTCTCAAACACTAACAAGCAAACAAAAATATTAGTAACATCTCGGCCTACAGCAAACAGGTACGATAATATATAAACATGTATTTATAGCGGTAGCATTAATAAACGTATAACAAAGATATCGTAGAATCCATGTTTTCCCAAACACATGCAACATGCAATGTTATCGTCAATACATAATCAGATGTTACGCTAGTCTGGAGCTACACTGAGTGGTCACAAGTAAATAGACACCATCTTTTCAGAAAAAAATTAAATTTTTCAGTCATATTCACATGAATTGATATATTTATAATCTAATTATTATC